CCCACTAGCAGTTAAAAGGAAGAAGCAGCTGCAAGCTCACATTACTCTGAGAAGCACAAAGCCGAAGACACAAGCCTGAAGATGATGAATGAGACTTCATCGAAACATCACCTAGATACTTCCAATTTTACGTGGGAGAAAACCCGAATAACCAAAAATCCACATACAAATACCGGCGAAAACCTCAGAAAACATATATATATATAAAAATACATAAAAATTATATTAAATATATTAGCTTTTTTAAAAAAATCGTATTAGTGGTCCTCGGGATTTAAAAGTATGAGTTTGGTGATCACTGAGATCCAAAAGGTTGGCGACACCTGCCTTAGGGCGTGTGCTCCCCCTCAGGGGCCTGGTGGCCCTCACCTTTTTGGGGCACTGCAGGTCTCTGGCCAGGCTCATCAGGAGGTCGTGGGAGATGGGGTCCACCAAGTTGAGGAAGGTGGCCTTCTTGTAGAGCACTTCATTGAGGAACGTCCCCTCCAGGCCAAGATCCTACGAGCAAAGAGCGAAAGCGGCTAAGAACCAGGGGGGGCATTGGACAGAGAAACCCCCCCCCCCATGGCCAGCAAGGAAGGCAGGCCCCTGGAGGGCGAGGGTGGGGGTCTCATCACCCAGATGTGAAGGAGCTCCCGAGCAGGGGGGGTCAAACTCAATTTCATTGAGGGCTGCATCAGGGTTGTCTTTGACCTTGGAGGGGAGGGGGACAGGGGGCGTGGCCAGATCAGTGTCACTTGTGTCGCCCCCTCCCCCGCCCGCAGTGCTCTGCCAACGAAGACAGGCTCCCAAACTCTGTTTCTGGCTGCAACGGCCTCCTGCAACCCTCTGCCAGGGAACAGCCACCCTCCCAAGCTCCGTTTCCGCTGGCAGAGGCACTGTGGGCGGGTCCTTCGCTGCTTCCAGGGCACAATCTAAGCACCTCTGGATCCAGCCTTGATTTGACACCCCTGCTCCAAGAAGCTGGAAAGACAACATCCTTGCAGCCACAGCCCCTAAAACTCTTTTCAACGTGATCCTCAGCTCCTGGATCCCGCCCCCCCACCAGATCCTGGCCGCGGTTCTGGAGGCAGCTGAACCAACGGCCTGTTTCGATGGGAAAGAGGCCTGAGAGCAGCTGCCTCCCATCCGAGCTCGCTTGGCAAAGCTGCTTCCTCCGGCATTTCTTCCAACCCTGCAGGGCGAGTGGCACCCAATGCCACGGTTCTCCCTTCCTGCTCTCGCGTCAGGCGCAGCGTCTCTCTGGATCAGGGCAACACTCTCGACTAAGAAGCAGCAAGGCCCCAGAAGCCCACTGCACCCACAGCCGGCAAGAGTCGAAGCGACTGACTGGGGCAACACAGTCGCTCTCCAGCAGTCACACAAAACCTGGCCTGCCCCGTGGAAGTGGGCCTGGAAAGACTGAGAGAATCCACACCTGGGGGGGAACCCGCCATCCTGGCAGGGCTGCAGGGGGAGGGGGTGTCTTTTGCTTGGCACTGCCCAGGGCATCCCAAGGAGACCCTCTTGAAACTGCCCCCTCCCCCCCGCCTGCCACATTTCTGCCTCCAAGTTAGAGGACTCTTTTGATGTTAGTTGGGGGTGTTGGGGGAGGAGATCCTGAAGTGTCAGTACAAAATCTTGTGGCTGGTGTTGACCTTGGACCCCACACACCCACTTCAACGGGCTGTTTGTGTTGCTCCCTTCTGGGAGGAGGTTTTGAAGTATTTATAGCAGGACTTCCAGATTCTTGAACAGCTTTTATCCTTATGTCCTCTTTGCCATAGTCCAGGGGTGTCCAACCTTGGCAACTTTAAGACTTGTGGACTTCAACTCCCAGAATTCCTCAGCCAGCTTTGTGGACTTCAACTCCCAGAATTCCTCAGCCAGC